ATCTAAAATTAGAAAAAAAAAAACACATTTAAAAAGTATCTAAAATTAAAATAAATATTTTAAATCTTTCTAAAATAAAAAAAAAACACATTTAAAACGTAACTAAATTTTAAAGAACATATTTAAAACGTATCTAAAATTAAAAGAAATCATTTAAAATGTAGTTAAAATTTAAAAACAAAACGTATTTAAAACAAAGCAACAAACATATCTGAGATGAAAGTTAAAACGTATCTAAAATGTATCTAAAGCAAATTTCCAAACTTCTGAATTGTTTGTGACATGCCAGTTAAGGAGAAGAACATGATGGGTCTGTATTTTATTTTCATAGCATTTTGACATGTCAATGAATCAGAACGTTAGAGATCTCAGTTTAACTCATAAAAGAAAAAATGAATTCGTGTCTTTCGCGGAAGTTCGAAAGTTAATGCAACCCATAAGTGAAGAGAGAAGAAATAGTTTTCAGGATTTTCTCGGGCTGATGTTGTGTCAAAAATGAATGCACCAGAATATCGCAGAATTTGACCTCTTAAATTCAGTTGTCCATCTTCTGAACAGGCTGCCCGATACTAGAGATCCCAAATGTAACCCATGTGGGAGAAGAGGGAGGAAATGAATCCATGCATTTCAGGAATGTTAAGGTGAATGTGAACGCAATAGTGAAACCCAGAATTGGAACTCGTCTCTTTAATTCCGCTTACCCTGTCAATTTATCGCCCGTTCCACTGGGCGATAAATTCTCCGTTGAAAAACTCTATTTAAAACATAGTAAAAACATCTAAAACGAAACCGAAAACGTTATCTAAAATGCATCCGAAACAAATTTCCAACCCTCTGAATTTTTTTTCTGGGAAGTCGATGCAAGATTATCTGTTTAATCGTTTAAGATGTTTTAGAAAAAAGCAAAACAGATGCTTATTGTCAACACTTTAAACAAATGAAAAGAAAAAAAAAACAAAAACAATTTATCACCCAAATCCCCCATTTTTGGCCAACGTAAATAGGCCGTTCATTCAAATGACAATGCAAGGTTTCACTCCCTACAATAAACACAAGAGGAAAAACTCTCCAACTCAAATAATGCACAACAACTCGAGACTTCCCTTTAATATAATCATTCAGACATTTTCTTATTGGTAAGATTGCAAATAATAAAGAGATCAATTCAGCATTATTAGATTTTTGTTTCAGATTGAATCCCAGATTCTTTGAACGCGGAATAAATGAATTAGTTTCATACTGAGCTTTTGTCATTACTAATAATGATGATTGTGTTCTTGACAAATAAATTTAATGTATTTTTACATTCGAGTGGATTTTTTTATTCTGTCTCACCAAAATGCAACTTTAATTTTCAAATAATCCCGAGGCAAAAAAGAATACAGAAAGGAATTATCAATTAATTATATTTTTGTGTATGTGTGCTGGCGGAGTGGGTGGTAATTTCAAATCCTGCTCAAGAATAACATTGGGAAAGGCATGAATGCATTTATCATCCTCTCCTAGTTTGGTTGAGTAGATTGTCATTTTAGCCTTGGTTGCTTACCAGTTTAGTAGAAGGCCATCTCTAAATTGAAATCTTATCCTTGCATATGACAGGGCAGTATATTATTTTTATAACATCTTGAGATGGCAATGCAAAAGGTTTTATTTTATCTGTTTTTTTTTTTTTTTTAGATGTCCATCTTATCTCTAGCATGTTATAGATCAAATCACTCCATAGATTCCCTTTCCTTATTATCTATGGATTCTCATGATTTCTTGGAAAATACAGTGGTATAGGTTGTTTCTGTTGCTTTCTCCGTAGGGTTAGGCTGTCCGAGTTTATAGACCCATTAAAGAAGAAATGGATTCATGTCTTTCGTAGCGCGTGGGGGCGCTAGAACGAAAGTGAATGAAACAAAGTAGCCCAGAATTTTGTCCATCTTCGAGACGGTTTGCTCACGGCTAGAGATCTAATGCATAAGTGAGGAGAGAATAAATGGATTTATACCATTCTGGTGGGGGTGAAAATAAATGCAGCAAATTGGCGTTGAATTTCTACTCTTAAATTCAGTTCTCCATCTTCTAGACGGAATGCCCACTACCAGAGATCCCATTCTAACCTATAACTGAAAAAAGAGAAAAAAAATGGATTCATGCCTTTCAAGGGATGGTGTAGTGTAAAAGTTAATACAACAAACCAGCAGAAAATTTTAATTCTTAAATTCAGTTGTCGATCTTTAAAAAGAAATTTGTTAAAAGATTCTGTACAAAAACTTATTGTGAAGACTAAAATGAAGATTGGAAAAAAAGGCAGCTAATATTTAATATAGTGCTATTTATTTAAGAAGAATTAAAACTTTACTTACAATTGGATTTTCAGTGTTTTTTTCCTTAGAAAAATAATTTAAGTTTTCTTTTTTTTAACTTTTTTACATTAACCGGTTTCGCTTAGCTTTTCAAAAAGATTTTAATTGTTTCTATCTCCACGTGTTGATGCTTATGTTTTGAACAAATAAAAAAAAATGAAAAACAAGGGGCGTAACTGGCTATATATGTCGTTTATTATAAGGAGAATTTGGTAGAATCTATGCAATTAATTAAGTATGGGTTTGAACTTGTTGATAAAAATGTTTCCTTATTAATCCACCTTCGTTCAGTGATTCTGTAGTCTCAGTGGTAGAATGGAAAGACACTAAAATTTGGCAGACGTTGTCCTCTGCATTCCTCTTTATGTGGGCTATGGGGTATTTTTCTGGTGTGAGTGACCTTAATTTGTTGGCGATGAGCTGTCATCCTTTGCCGCAGTGACTGGAGATACTTCCACGAAATCGCGAAAAAAATCAGCATACTGTGATGAAAAGATGCTCCAAATGTGATGAAAACAGTTTTATCTTCAAAATTTTTATCTTATTATTAAGAGGAAGGATCAAAGCATTTTTTGAATATTTAATTAAGTTTTTTCTTCCTTTTTAGAACATTGTAAATTTTGATAAAAATCTTGCTTTTCTTTTGTATTTTAGTATAGCATATTTTAGCATCTTTTCTGCGATACACATTAATTTGGAAATTCTTACAGAAATCAAACAATTGTCGGATTTTACTGAAATATTCAAAACTTATTCACAAATAAATGAAATTATTTTTGAAATTGTTTTTATTAGAAAATCTTGGTATTTTTTTTTTTTACTTATGCTTCACCACTTTATTTAATTTTATGAAAACTTGAGAAATTCAGTGTGATAATTTTAATGACTATATTAGTTAAAAGCAGAATTCTTTGAAGAATTTAAATCACCGAATTCATTTTGCACAATCGGACCCGGTCTTACCGAAAATCTATTCTGAATTGAAAAATAAAAAACACATTAAAACTAAGACATTATTTAATTAAAGAAGTTTTTATTTGATTTTATGAATAATATATATTAAAGGAAATATTGGCTGAAGAAAAAATTTCTCCCGATGAAAAATGAATTTTTACAAGATTTTATTTCATTTTTTTACAATTTTAAATTGAATAATTTATAATGTTTTTAAATCATTTAAAATTCAGTGTCACTGAAATAACTATATTGTTATTAAGTAAAACTATATTTACTAATCATGTTATATTATAAGCTTATGACAATATGATGACCAGAATATTTTTAAAAGAATTTCGATTTGTTTTGTATGTGTATATACGTTCAGAAATGCTAAGTGTGGCTGTTCAAACCTAATATTATTATTAAAGGTCACGTGTTTTAAGGGTTGTCAGGTGCGATGGGTAAATTGTCGCCATAATTTCGCGCATGCGCGTTGTTTATTTTTTTATTTTGTCGACTGCACAGTATAGCAGGATCAGTTCGACACTTTCTGTGAGAAAAAGAGCAACATGACGCAATTCACTCCGCCAAAAATTTAGAAACGGCATGTTGTACTGCTTGGCATTCGCGCCGGAAGATCCAATACGAACATTTCAGAGTATTTGGGTGTCAATCTGAGGACAATGCAGAGGATTTGGAAAGAGTTGGATGAGTCTAACGGTGATTACGAAGGTACGGCATCTGGGAAAACTCACTCTGATCGATCTGATAAGAAAAGAACTCCTGAATTTGTTGGTGAGGGCAACACGCGGACTACAGGAGGCAGTGCTGCTGTGAGCCAAGATGGTGGCAGCACCAATTAAGCTCTTAACGTAGAGGACGGCGCCGGTGTCTGAAGGCAGTCCATTTGAGGTTTGGTTAGTGCTGCTGAGATGTTTCAGGATAGAGTGTGTGTGAAAGCGAATGGAGTCTTGAATAGCGACAGTTATAGTGACATGACCCTTAGTGTAATCTCATAAATTCTGTCGTTGAGTTCAAACATACGCGATTTTTATATCGTTATTCCCGAGAAATTGGCTCTAGAATGTATGTAATTTTACTTATTCCGAATAGACCCTACCATTTTTCTAGCCTGTGCTGTGTCTGCATCAACATGTTGATAATGCTTGCTCCATGACTATTTCGATAGCATAATAATAAAAAATGGTAGGAATATTCTTTTATTTCGTAATTGTTAGAATCCGGTGCAAGCGAAGGATTTATAGTAAGTTTAACATATTTCCGTAAAAAAAAACCCCAAAAAACGGATTATTCCACTTAAAATTATGCTTTCTGGTGTTATTCTATCCCAGGCAATACCAAGTGCCCATTACTGTTAGTTTTCATAATAACTAAAATTCTTTTCCTGATATATCATTTCTCTCTTTTCGTTATTCTTCAACCATGTGATTTAATTCTTTTGGCTCGGGTCGTTTTTCTGTCCAGTCTGGCTTTTCGCCATTCTGAATCTTTGCATTCTGTGGTTGAATAATTAATAAATGGACGGAAGGAAGCGGACATAACATCGTAGAATTGGACCAAAATCTTACAAGGAACAGACCAGAATTATATTTTAGTTATAAATGATTTTTTCCGATTTCAAAATTTTCTACATAGCGTTTACTGTGTTTTAATGCTAAGATGAACTGTTACATACATATATATGTATGTATGCATATCTATCTATCTATCTATCTATCTATCTATCTATCTATCTATCTATCTATCTATCTGTGTGTGTGAGTGTGCGTGCGTGTGTGTGTGTGTGTAGAAATGATCTAAATAAAGAGATATGAACACTGAACAGTCATATATATGAGCGAATACTTACACATGCATGTGATCAAATACTAGTTATGTAATCAATGGTGTTGACAAAACATGGCTCAATGCTGTTAAGCAGAGATTAATAATAACTATAGATAAATAACTACACATATACCTCTATCTATCTATCTATCTATCTATCTATCTATCTATCTCTCTCTCTCTCTCTCTATATATATATATATATATATATATATATATATATATATATATATATATATATATAATAGATAGATAGATAGATAGATAGATAGATAGATAGATATACTCGTTTCAAAAAACCTTCGAATTTTTGATTTGCCAATAATCAAATCAATCACGAAGGAAAAAAAGTTTTAAAAAAAGAAAGAGCTAGAAACATGAAAGTCTGTCGAAAAAATCGCACAGATACAGGTTCAAAGCCCAAAGGAAAAAAAAAACGACACGAGTAAACAACTAACTAAAAAGAGCTCAATACAACCGTAGAACAGACCTAGATGAACCTAGTGAGCCAGACACACCTACCCAGGTTTCACCTAAGCGGATCGTTAGGGAAAGCTGAGCCAGCTTTCCCTGACTATCCGCTTAGGTGAAACCTGGGTAGGTGTGTCTGGCTCACTAGGTTTATCTATATAGATATATACATGTGTATGTATGCGCGTGTGTAGAAATGATCTAAATAAAGAGATATCAACACTGGATAGTCACATATGTGATCGAATACGTACACATACATACAGGTGAACAAATACTAGTTATTTAATAAATCGTGTAGACAAAACATAAAAAAATGTACTTGATGAACGGGAAAATCTTAAGCCTCAGAGTCGTACTCTAAACGAAGGTATATGTATAGTTATTAATATATATACTCTCTCTCTTTCTCTCTTTCTCTCTCTCTCTTTTTCTCTTAAAAAACTATGCTCGTTAATTCTAAACACGTGTTATTATAAATGACAACAGCGGTACTTTTCATGTTTTCAAAATTAAATCTGTTAGCTTGCGACAGTTCGAAAATATTTCATTCTTTTTTTTTTTTCTTGACGTTGTTAAATTCTGTAATTTGTAGCTTCGTCTCCCTGAATATATTGCCGTGTCTGTTTGTTAAAGCTTTCTTATATATAAGAAATGGAACATGCAAGTAATACACACACGTACACACACACACACACGTATATAGGGGGCTATGGGTAAATTGTCGCCATTTTATATCATAATTTCGCGCATGCGCGTTGTTTGTTTTTCATTTTGTCGACTACACAATATAGTAGAGTCAGTTGGGGACCGTCTGTGAGAAAAAGAGCACCATGACGCAACCCACTGTGCCAGGAATTTGGAAACGGCATGTTGTACTGTTTGGTATTCGCATCGGAATCTCCAGTACGAATATTTTAGAGAGAATGCCATTTGAACCTCATGCTCAGAAAGCAGATGTTCTAAACACTTGACCATACACCCATATAGCTAGAAAGATACATATATACATGTTGCGATGCGTAAATTGTCACCATTTTATATTTTTATTTCGCTCTGTTTCTTATTGATTTTGTCGACTGCACATTTTTAATAGCATCATCTGGGCACCATCTGCGAGAAAAAAAGCACCATGATGCAATTCACTGTATCAGAAGCAGCATGCAGTACTGCTTGGCATTTGCACTTGAAGCAGCAATGCAAACATTTCAGAGTGTTTGGATGTCAATCTGGGGACAGTGAAGATGATTCGAAAAGAGCTATATGAGTCTAATGGTGATTACAAATGTGTTTGGAGTGGTCACTTCTAATGGTGACGTTAGGCCTCCATTCATTTTCCCACATGGCCTCAGACACGACACAGAGGCCTACATAGAGTGACTTGAGGAGGTATTGATGCGTTAGACGTAGAATTTGGCTGCTGGAATACTCTATGTTTGGCAACAGGTCTCTGCGTGCCACACTAGCAGAAGAAACCAGTCATGGCTGTAAGAAAATTTCTACGACCATATCACTTCTTACACATGAGCGTCTAACTAATTAGGTTGCAACACCTTTGATTCTTATGTGTTGGGTGCAGTTGAGCGAGAGACCAACGTAACTCCTTGTAACGCCAAAGATGAACTGAAGACAAGTATTATGGCAGCATTCACCAACTTAAACAAGGAGACCGTCCAAAAGTGTTGCAGAAGATGCCAAATTCTTCTGGAGGCCGTGGTTGAAGCCAATGTTGAGTTTATTGAATAAATTTACTCTTTCGTATTTCAAGATGTTTTTGGTAAATATATCAGTTAAATTGAAATGTTAGTGTTATTTTCATTTTTACGTAATTTAGACAATTTATCCATCACACACTGCACACACACACACACACACACACACACACACACACATATATATATATATATATATATATAGAGAGAGAGAGAGAGATAGATAGATAGATAGATAGATAGATAGATAGATAGATAGATAGATAATGGATTCTCCCGTCGGTTTCGACGTATGAGGATCTGACAACTTAATTGATTCAGTTATGAAATTTTGTGCGATAATCATAAGCGCCCCTAGTGATTTACAAAGGAGGCCACATATGGAACAAGAGTAAGGATCGTGGGATGAAATCACTGTTAGATTGGCTGACCTTTTAGATCTTGCTCTCGCTTCTTGAACATGATTCAAACAAGCTGATTGAAAACTGCTGAGTCCTCTAAAACACGTTGATCTCCATTCTACCCGCTCCAACGCTAAGCACTCGAGGGTGGTATGAGGTATAATGACATCTGACAAGTGGGTTAACACGTTTCTGAATTTGTGAAGTTTTTGCTTTATTACTGTAGACTTGTGTACTTTTGTCTTGCATCTATTGTTTGCTTAGTATTACTATTTCCCCTTTCCTTTTTCTGACTTTTGTTATTGCTTATTGCAAACTTTGTCAGTTTTGTTGGGCATTTCTCCCAATTACATTTAAGCATCGCCAATTAGTCCGCAATTATTATTATTGTTGTTATTATTATCTTTATATTTATATTGTAGCGGTGGTATAGGGAGTTTTTAGATATCTTTATCTTTTGGGATTAAAGATCATCGAAAGACAAACAATTGCCGTAATTCCCCATGTATAATACGCCTTCGTCGATTATACGCACAAGAATATGTTGAGAAAATATAATTCGTTTTCTATTGTATTTTCATCTTGATTTTATTAGATAATGCATTGTAAACATTTTTTTATTACTTTTCAGTGAGTATCGTAATTCCCTATGTATAATACGCATTCATCCATAATACGCACGCTTAAAATTGTGCTGAAAGTGTCGGAAAATGCTTCTACTCACATAATACGCAGTCTTTGGTAATCAAACCCTATAAGTTGTACATTTCCAATTTCACTACGGCCAGCGTTTCTTACTCTTATTTTAAAAAATGGTTTTAAACAGAATAATATTATTCTAATTTAGTTTTATAATAATTCTATTTTATTTTAATTTGTAAGTATTGTTAGGTACATGATTGCATCTGACATCTTTATGGGGTCGCAATCGCTGAATGTTAGTGTCAAATTGTCGTATGTTTGTGGTGAGTAGTCATTTCGCAACTGTATTCGACCTTTGAAACGGCAACTTTTTAAAGATTTTTTTGTAGCTGTGCATGATACGCACTCCTAATTTTGCTTATTAATTTAAAAAAATGCGTATTATACATGGGGAATTACGGTAAGTTATGGAAAAATGTATCTGAAAATTCCATAAGTACTGAACCAATAAGTACGCACTTAACTATACAAATATTGAAGGTCGTTCTATTCAATGTTTTCCTAGGTACCGTATTACTTGGCATCAGACACAACAGCTTCCAGGATTAAACCCCCAGTTTAGCCAGTTAAATTCTGAAAAACAAATTCCACGAGAAAGTTTGCCAAGGAGTAAACAAGTGCAGGTTTCTGCTTTAAAAGCTAAAAAAAAAATTCGATGCCAAATCAATTTTGACACCAACGAGTTAAGTCATAATTCCTTGTTTAAATAAAGAGGCAAAATATATAACAGCCGAAGCAAATAGATATTTCTGTTGCAAATCATTTCCCTCGGTGTTCCATTCAGCCAGTTTAAATGCCATACGTGATACACGCTTGGGCAATCATGTCTCTTTCGATTCATGACTGACTAGGCAGAAAGATTTGCCTGCACTACTTTGCAGTTTCTTTTTGTGGTAGGCTGGTTGCCAATCAAAGCTAAAGAGCACAGAAGAATAAAAGTACAAGGGCATTTGAGCGTAAGTGAATTTAACGAACCTGACTGGAATTTAAACTCTGCTCAGTGATTGCTCAATCTAAACGGTTATTCATGACTCCACCGTATATATATATATATATATATATATATATATATATATATATATATATATATATATTGTTAAATATAACAGACAACGAATGTCTATTACGTTCGATCATGAGCCGTTCTAAGTTTCGTATACTGGGTTTAAATTCGGGAGAAAATAAAGATAAAAACTCTCCAACATTTGAATATTTTTTATTATGCTGTTCCTCAATCTAATCTTTCGGTTCACATGAGCCATCATCAGAGTGATTATATAGACATTACAACAAAGATGTCATCCTGTTATGTTTATATAGTTAGCTATGCGATGATAACGGTCGCGGAATAGCAGACACAGGTCGTAAATTCGTAATGAAGTTCTATGACGTCGTACATGACTACGTAAGAGAAAGAAATGTTATCAATAGAACTACGCGTTCAAATGTATTGTAATATGTTGCGACTGGCTTAAAATGTGTCGGCTGCTTTGTTTTAATGTAAATAGCCTCTATTATCTTAAGGTTTTTTTTTATTGTGTGAGTATTGATGTGTTATCAACTAATATCTGTCTAATGATCATGATCAAACATAACAGACATTCATTGTCTGTTATATTTAATAATATGTTTAAGTAATGATCTGCTGCCCGGATACACTAAATATATATACTGTGAGTATTATTGTGTTATCAACTAATATCTGTCTAATATAATGTACATGGCTGTATTTTACTAAGAAATGTTGTTTAATGGAATTAAAATTAGAAAGGTGACAGTGAAGTCTACAGGAGTACATGGTTGTAGGAAAACAAATATACATTATTTACATTATTCGGACTATTGTCCTCATCTTTGTCGCCATATTTATCACAACGTTTCGGCCGTTGTACAATAGTCCGAATAATGTAAATAATGTACATAATACCTCATCTCAGAAATATAGACAGACTCTAAAATAAATATATTTAATGGTTTTATTAGTAGTATCAGAGATACAACCTCTTGATACACTACATGTAAAATTGATACACTGCATTGGTGTTTTTTTTTCGGTAGAAGATTTTGTTGTGTCTTTGTGAGAACTCTTATGTAGCGTTTGAATACATTTTTAGATAGATAATTATATATATATATATATATATATATATATATATATATATATATATATTTATATATATATATATTGAGAATCCTTTATAAGAAATTCTTGATACCGGAATTTTATCAATTTTTTTTTATATAGTTTTGTGAACATTCCATGATGTTAGTCATATGTTTTCAATAAATTCATTTCGTTTTTGCTTTGAAAATCCACATTGGACGAATAATACAGTTTTCCTTCTGTCTTTTACCTTTATACATATTGTTTTTTTCTCAGGTTAACTTTATATATTATATGCGTGGTACTTATTAGAAAGCGCTCAATATCAGAGATAAAGCTAACATAATACATACACACACACACACACACATATATATATATATATATATATATATATATATATATATATATATATATATATATTGCAATGATGTCCTCATTTTTGTTGCCATATTTATCACAACGTTTCGGCCGATGTACTCTCCGGCCTTCTTCATGTGGTTGGAATGTCGAACTGGGGATGTCAGCTATCAGTTATCTCCTGTTAATTTTCGCTCTGAAATTTCTCCACCACTTAACCTTGTATTGAACTCATACTCACACTCTTTGGGTCTTGTCACTAGATCTAACCAACGCCTTTATCCACTTATCTTATCTGGGCATGAATTTCAGGGTATTATAAACCTAATGTCTTCAGCCACCATTTTTACCAGTGCTCATATTGCAATTTTTCTGTTATCATTTCATGTTTTTACCAGAACTCATATTGCAACTTTGTTTTTATCATTGATTTTCTCTGGCACTCCTTATTACTGGTTCCCATATTGTATTTATTTATACAATAGGCGTTGGTTAGGTCCAGTGACAAGACCCAAAGAGTGTGAGTTCAATACTCAGTTAAGGCAGTGGAGAACTTTCAGAGGGATAATTAACAGGAGATAACTGATAGCTGACATCCATCAAACATGGCACGTGGAACTAGAACAGTCTACCCAATTCATAAAGGGTTCAGTTCGACATTCCAACCATCTGAAGAAGGCCGGAGCGTACAACGGCCGAAACGTTGTGATAAATAGGGCGACAAAGATGAGAACAATAGTCCGAATAATATAAATAATGTACATAATACTTCATCTCAGAAATATATATATATATATATATATATATATTGTCATCCAGAGACAGACTGTTTCGCTGTATCACAGCTCATCAGTGTGGCTAGACATCCAATTACCTCTAGCTAGGATCGAAACCTGATTGAATTGGCGTCAGTCAGGGATTCTACCACTAAACCGTTGGCACGGCAGGATGAAGATGAATGTTAAGTGTATTTATTTTTAGATAAACACAGTGACTGAGAGAACTCAATTCGATTTACCGAAGAGTCTTGTATTATTAGCCATAATAGTCACTGTTTACAAACTCATTTCCTCCCCCAGAGAGCTCAACCGAAATAAATTTTTTCAATATATATATATATATATATATATATATATATATATATATATATATATATATATATAATAAAGAAAAATTAGCAATATTAAATTTTAATAATCAAATCAAATTATTAAATAAAAAGAATTGAATAATGAGTCTATGCCGACATATTAACAAATGCTTACGTTGTAATTTTGATAATAATATAACATAATAAATCAATTAAAATATAGATTAAAAGATATTATTGAAAATATTATAAAGGTACTTTAAATAAAATTAACAAATATTTCAATTTAATTAATAATATAGCATACGTATATATACCCCCGCCAAAAAAAAATTAATTTAATTTGTAAGAAAATTTTACAACTGGAAGAAAAATCTACAGCTTGGAAAAAAAAATGAAAGACGTAAACAAAAGAAAAACTTCATGAAGGTTCGCGTGTAAAAGAACGTTAAATTCAATGAATACGAAGGTGTAGAAAACAGAATAAAAAATCTGACTGAAAAAGACGTGTAATAAAGGGAAAAATTGAAAAAAAAAATTAAATAACCTTTAAGACCACTACCGCTGAAGACTGAACATTTTACTAAGAAACATTGATGACAGGATAAAAATTGATATTTAAAAGTTATGTAATCTTTTCATATATATTTATTTGTCCTAAAAATCTCTTGGTCTGATGATTCGGAATCGATCTGGTTCTGCGAAATAAACTATTACTGATGGATTCCACCTTTTTCATCATCATATATGCTCTGTTCTTACGTTGAGCTCTCTTTGGTTTTATATCCTCTTTGGAATTATCCCTATTAATTATCAAATAATATATATATATATATATATATATATATATATATATATAGTGTATTGGGGCAGCAGATCATTATTTAAACATATATTATTAAATATAACAGAGAATGAATGTCAGTTATGTCTGATCATGATCATTAGACAGATAGTAATTGATAACACAATAATATTCAAACGTACACACAGTAAAAAGAACTTTCAGATATCGGTGGCTCGTTACATGAAAATGAAGGAACCCACACTCAACAAAATTACATTTCAAACTAGTCACAACACATTACCTTGCATCTAGACATTGGTTCTGTTATAATGCGTGGTATGACGTCATAGAACCGCATCTGGAACTTACGATCTGAGTCTGCTATTCCATCTTTGAAGGTCGATATCTTTGTTTCATGCCTGTCTACCCACTCTGAGGATGCCACACGCGAGCCTAAAACTTACGGCCAAATTAATAAAGAAATATCCAAATGCTGGACAATTTTTTCTTTATTTTCAACAGAAGTTAAAGCAAATATTCAAACATTAGAACACTCATTATCAGACATCATAGACATTCATTTTCTGTTATATTTAATAATACATATTTAATATATATATATATATATATATATATATATGTGAAAAGTGAATATAAATATAAATAAATATATATATATGTATAATTATTTATATATTATATGCGCAGTACTTATTAAGCGCTCAATATCAGAGATAGAGCTAACATATTTGGTTGGATAGATGTGAGTTTGTGACCCTGGGTTTCACACTTTAGCGCAAACTCACATCTATCAACCAATCTATATATATATATATATATATATATATATATATATACCGTTTAATGCATATATTTAAATATATATATATATATATATATATATATAAGACATATATAATCACATGACATGCTGAAAAGTTCTAAGCCAGATTCACTTTCTTAAAAATCCGAACATCATTCATTATATATATATATATATATATATATATATATATATATATATATATATATATATGCATATTTAATTTTTTTTAAGCATTACACCCGGAGCAAGGCGTGGAGCCACTAGGATGCAGGGGGTTGCAGAAGATTTGGAGCGAGAGCAGATAGGAGAGATAGAAGAAAGGATGAGGAGAAGGATAGTGGGTAGATTACATTTGAATAGTTGGAGATTATAGCTCTCAGGGAAACAGTAATTGGGAAGGGTGTTCCACAGGCGAGAGGTGCGAGGTATGAAGCTAATGGAGTAGAAGAGACGGCTACATTTAAAAGTTTCTACAGTGTAAGGCTGGGAGCGGGATGCCAGCCTCGTAGGGCTGCTTGAATTCATGAAGTCTGGGGAACCAGTGAAAGCAGCTCATCGGAGCAATTACCATGAAAGTATTTGTAGAAAAGACAGAGAGAGGCGACGGCGCGTCTGTGGGAGAGTGACTGTAGACGAGACCTTGAATCAGGGCCAGTTATATTACATATCCGTCTCTGCACAACCAAGGAGCATTTTTCCAACTGAATATGATGTGATATATATATATATATATATATATATATATATATATATATATATATATATGACTAAGCTATTATGCTGATAAGAGGGTATTTCTAAAGATAGCTCAGAATTATTAAATTTGTCTTTTTTTATTGATTTCTCTTTTGGAAGGGAGATCAAACAAAATGCTTGAATTTTCAAATATTGGTAAGTGTTACTGTTTGCAGAAGATGTATTTTTCCTCATCAGGATTACAATTTGGCAAGTGTTGCCCCATGCATATCAGAATTAGTTTATGTGTTGTTTTAGCCAAATGAGCGCCATTAAACTGGCTCCTCTCCAGGGAAGATTGTCGCTGGAATTGCTAGAATCTTTATTCCCATCTATTTTGTTGATAAACATGAAACTGCTGATTGGAATTCAGAATTATTCATTTGGAACTGATTATGCAATTTTCATTCACATTTCTTTAACCAGACAGTAGCAAATTGTTTTTTTTATTTCTTTTATGCTTTTTAACATTTCTTTCAAAAGTTACAAAATTTGCGTATATCTTTTTAATATATTGTTTCTTAATTATTCAGTTAAAGTTGGCCTTTCATGGCATTGTTTCTTTTGAAATCTTTTGAAACTTAAAACAATTATAGCCTTTCATTTCGTTATTTGTCCATTACATATTTAGATGACGCCAGACTGGGCCATGTTGTAGCTGATGCTGTCAGGAATATCAAATCTCCATTTACAGGTTGTGTCATTCATAGTCGTATGCAAATCTATCTATCTATCTATCTGCCTCATTCTTTACATATCTATCGCATTCTTTTCATATCTCTTTGTCTGTCTATCTATCTATCTCATTCTTTTATATCTCTCTGTTTGTCTATCTATCTATCTATCTCATTATTTTCATATCTATCTCATTTTTTCATATCTATCTATCTCATTCATTTCATATCTGTCTGTCTGCCTAACCATCTATCTATCTCATTATTTTCATTTCTTTCTATGTCATTCTTTTCATATCTCTCCATTTCATTCATATATATGAGTGTGTCTGTGTGTGTGTGTATGTGTCTGTGTGTGTATATATTTAGGCACAAATTCTCTTTTACGCATGTCTGATTGGATAAATTACAGACATTATATCAGCTAATTTTTAACAAAATCCGTTCATACTCACGAATAACCTTCCGTGTATTAATATTAAAGCACTAGAGAAATGTGCTATAACGGTTTAAATTCCGTTTATTTTCATTTCCCAAGTACTTTCGATCTTCTTCCAAGATCATCTTCAGGGGTGCATGTAGTACAAAACTACATGATGTTCATGGGTACAGGTATTTATACAAAGCTGTGCGATGCTATTCATAACCGTAATTTTTCATTATGCTTTTTAAATGCAAAACGTTTGAAAATGTACTGATCATTCATTAAAACGTGAAAAATTATCCAATATTGATTTTTTCTTGTATGTTATAATATCATGCGCATGCGCTCATTAAAGCGTGAAAATAAACTGTTCCTTTATAGGCATTTCAGAACATTAAGTCCGTATTCATAGATGATTCTGTTCATTGCTGGCTTTAATTTATTAATATAAATTTTTTCTTGTATCTGTAGCATGAATTTATTATTTTCTTGGTATAGGATACTTGTGTTGTTGATCAGAAATATATCAGTTATATGACAATATAAAAAATGAAATACACGGAAGGTTATTCGTGAGTATGAACGGATTTTGTTAAAATTTAGCTGATATAATGTCTGTAATTTATCCAATCAGATATATATCTCATTCTTTTCATATATATATATATATATATATATATATATGTGTGTGTGTGTGTATGTATGTGTGTATATATATATATATATATATATATATATATATATATATATATATCATGTTTTTCATATCTATCTCATTCTTTTGATAGATATATCTATTTCAATCTCTTCATATCTATCTCTCATTATTTTCATTTCTTTCTATCATTCTTTTCACGTCTCTATCTCATTCATATACATGTATATAATTTTTCATGTATATATAGCACTTTCATTTCATATCTATCTCATTCTTTTCATATATATATATATATATATATATATATATATATATCCTTTTTTCATATTTAACGAATGTCATATCTAACTCATTCTTTTCATAAATATATCTATCTCAGACTCTTCATATCTATCATTCTTTTCATACATATATATCGATCTCATTCTTATCATGGATATATCTATCAAAATCTGTTCATATCTATCTATTTCATTCTTTTCATAGGAAGTGTGGGTTTGTAAACAGTGACTATTATGGCTGATATAGCGAGACTCTTCGGCAAAAGCGAATTGAGTCACTGTCGCTCACTGTGTGTGTTTATCTAAAAATAAATACGCTAAAATTCACCTTCGTCCTGGCCGTGCACCGACTGCTTAGTGGTAGAATCTCCGACTGACACCCGTTCACTCGGATTTCGATCCTAGCTAGAAGCAACCAGATGTCTAGCCATACTGAAGAGCTGCAGAAACTGCCTGTCTGTGGATGACTTTTAATTTTTTATTTTTATATATATATATATATATATATATATATATATATATATATATATATATATATACGAGGGTCATTCAATAAATAAGGTGATTTTTTCGGTATAAGGACTTCTAATACAGATAGAAGCTTACTTTTTTTTTGTAGTCTCCCAGCACAGTCAAACACTTTTCCCATCTGTGCACAAGCTTCCGTATTCCCTCAGAGTAAAAATCTTTGGACTGATGTCTCAGCCAGTCGCTCACAACACTTTTGACTTCATCATCACTTTTAAACTTGTGGCTCTCGTGAACGCTTTCAAGGGACCAAATTGGTGAAATTCTGAAGGGGCAAGGTCTGGGTTGTAAGGGGGATGAGGGAGCAGTTTCCAGCCCAACTCGTTGATGGTCTGCACCGTTTGAACTGCTGTGTGAGGCCTTGCGTTGTCATAATGCAAGATGACTCCTTCTGACTGATGACCCCTGCGTTTGTTCTTTATCTCTTTCTTGACCTGCCTCAGCAGTTCACAGTAGTTCTTCTGTCAGACTGAATTAGGTCATTGACTCAGTCGATCACCTCAGGAGACCTCACTTCTGTAGGCCTCCCAGGCCTGTCTTCATCCTCAACACTGCTCCGTCCTTCTTTAAACAATTTAGCCCACTTGTAGACATTTTTTTTTTTGCTGAAACATGTGGCACCATACACAGTTGACATTCTCCTATGACTTTCAACTGGTTTACACCCTTCAGCAACCAAAGGCTTAATAACTGACCGCTGTTCAATCCTGGAGCATGCTTCATGGTCGGCCATCTTTGTTAATCGCCAAAACTTTCAAAGTTTTTTTTTAATCTGCAAAAGAAATTAAATCCATGTGAAAAAGAAGTAAAACAAAAAAAAATTAAAAAAGTAAACTTCTAACTGTATTAGAAGTCCTTATACCGAAAAATACACCTTATTTATTGAATGACCCTCGTATAATTCTTTTTATATATCTCTATCTATTGCAAGAATTAATTTAAATCTGTGATAGTGTCATCCAATTTAGTTTTCTGCAAGTATGTGTTACCTTGTTCTTTTCACTTGGTTTTCCCACATTTATAAAGATGGCGATTTACAAATGGGTAGCAGTTCAGAAGGCGAAATTACTTTTATAATCCCAAATATGTCTCAGCTTTAAATAACCCAAATGTTTACCATTTATTTCGGCATCTACAGGCTGTGTCATGAGTGTTAGTATGTAAATAAGTGCGTTTGGCATGTACATCAACCTCTTATATACTCATATAGGTCATACCACTACCTCCTTGAGCAGACGTCGCACATGTCACTTATCTGGCCCAAGTGCCATAAAAAATCACTTTGTCACACACAATGCACAATAACCATAAGGAAAATTCTCGGTGATCATCCTTTATTAATTCTGTAACTGAAAACGTCTCGCTTTCAGAAAACCACTCTACACGAAACATCTGCACCAAGTATTAATCTAACTTATTTAACAACAGAAATAATGTACTAAATATTTATTTTTGTTTTAAATAAAAAGACTCTAACTGGAAATCCAGCCACGTTTCATTCGCTGGACTCGGAATAAACTCTACTACTCTATAGACATTACACAACTACATCTTAAACGGACAACCAGGAAAAGAAATTAACAAAACTGAACAGGAAACCCCTTGAATATTGGTAAAAAAGTGACCAAAAAAGTGACGAAAAGAGTGACCAAACGTGACCAAAAAAGTGACCAAAAGAGTTTGGAACATTAGACGCTACATAATTTTTTTAAACTCTCTTACACCCACCAAACGGGAAAGTGTAAGGATATTAGAAAAAAAATCGATCAGTTTATTAAAAACGTGTCCTCCGGCACCATTCGAACCTACAAATCTATCTGTGTATACATTTTTCTCTCTGTCTCTCTGCAAAGTTAATGCTCTGTTTTTAATATTTTTTTATAGATATTAACAGAAAATATATTAAATAATTGTCGGACTTAATCCATTTGATTACATGTTGCCATTGTTTACGTTAACAGACATGTTGTGAACACACATGATAGCTCAGGAACATCGTCGAAGGTGTGTGTTTATAAACAGTAATTCGGACGTTGCAAACCGGACGCTTCTCTGTGGCCGAATGATTAACAGCACGGCAGATCAAATGACGTTTCACCATAACGGTTACAGGTTCGATTCCTTTTGGAGATCGCATACTTTCTACGAAATTTCTCGAACATTTAGGCAAGTAAATGTAATTAATACTCTTTAAGAATATGTCTGTCAGTCTTCTCATATCTCTTCATATAAACGTATATTTATAAATTATTTAAATAAGTTCATCTATAAAAATAAATTAAATAATTGTCGGACTTAAACCATTTCGTTTATTTTTATATATATAACATCATCTACAGACAGACGGTTCCGCTGCACATGAGAGTGGCTAGACATCCGGTTGCAGCTAGAAACGAAACCCGACTGAATTGGTGTCAGTCGGAGATTCTAACCATTAAGCCGTCGGCGCACGATAGGGATGAAGGTGGATTTTAGCGTATTTATTTTTAGAAACACGCCCAGTGAACGACGGTGACGCAATTCAATTATATAGCTATAATAGTCACTGTTTACCAACCCACACCTCCTCCCCAGAGAGCTCAACTAAAAGTAATTTTTCAGGAGCCAGTATATATATATATATATGTGTGTGTGTGTGTGTATGTGTGTGTGTGTGTGTGAGTGGATGAGAATATGACAGAAAGCTAAACTTAAGAGACATATAATTTTACATATCTCAGCCACGAAGTCATCAGATAAAATTGGCTAATGTAAATTTTTTTAATCATTTGGCTCCAAGCAAGGCGATCAAGCCACTAAGACGCAAGTAGGGTTACTAAGGATAAGAGAAAATAGAGCGATCGATGTGAGAAAACGTTATTAAGCTTAACGAACCGGAAGATAAATCATAGTTGAGAGGAAAGCAAGTGATCGAATAAGAGTTCTACATGCGCGAAGTACGAAAGAAGAAACTGTTAACATAGAACTTACGGTTATTACTGGCAATTTCAAGAGTAAAACAATGAAATCTATTAATTTCATGAAGTCGAGATACCAATGAAGAAATATCATCAGAACAAGTACAATGAAAATATTTACAGAAAAGACAGAAGGAACTTATTTTACGTCAGTGTGGAATTGGACGAAGCTGTGGCGCCGGGTCAGAACATAAAACATTGCAGATTATTCTTTCGATGCTGTCAAGAATCTTTATCTGCATAGCTCAATCATCAGAGCAGATTTGGCCATCTTTACTAGCAGCAGACCTAGCAACTAATTCAGTATATGTAAGAGGAAAATATAGCCAGAGAAGGTGCAATGAGTTACTCTCCTGGTGGTTAGCATCAGCCATGCTGATGTAAGCCAAAAAAAAAAAAGCTTCTCGACAACGATTTAAAGTGAATAGTTTCGGTCTGAAGGAAGGGCTAGATTAACCATTAAGCCAAATAAGCCCATTCTTTCTCGCCAGAGAATGTGTAATGATATGATATTGCTGTACACATCTAAAGAAATAAGACAAACCCGATTAAACATTTGAATTATGAAAAGGAGGACAACTGACCTGCAGCGAATCTTTACTGACATTCTGATTGGTTAATAAGGGAATGAGCTAACGGAGATAATTTTGTGAACAGAGATAGACTACCTTCATGCTCGTTTGGCATTATTCTAGCCAAACTTTTATGCCTTTCTGGAACACGCTGTTTGTTGATGACAGGGGCACTTCTGTTCACAATTCTGTTAGAATTTGATCGTGGCTCCTTTGACAATGGCTGCACAGCTGTGATTGTTTCTTTCTTGGTTGGTTTTGTTCTGGGTTGGAACTGATAATCAGCTTCTCTCTATGGTCGTATCTTGCCTTCGGTTCATTCTATATTCATTTCCAGCAAGCGTTTCCACGATGCACGTTCTAGGTTGATAGCCTTTATTTATTTGCATTACTTATCGAGACTCCATGCTAGCATACTTAACTCACGGGTGCATGGCGGGGAGGTTGGCAAAATCTTTTCAATGAGGGCCCCTATGGGTCTCAATCTGGCCCTGCCTGGAAGGGTTAAAATTACTTGCCCCATTTAACAACACAGACAATTGTCGTTATGGTGATGGGTAAGTGACTGAAGCCGAGATGCCATGACAGGACCGATAACATTGCAGATTTTTGTTTGAATTTTGTCAAGAAGCACCAGATCAGATGTGGTAACAATATCAAAGGACGGAGGAACGGTAGACTTATAAAAAATTGTAGATGTAAAACGTTTTTACCGGATGATGCCAATCTGTTAACGATCGTCGGAAAATAACAATTCTCCATATTGTATAAGGTATGCCAACATGAAATTTCTAATTTTACTTAAAGAACCGCAAAGTTTTAATTAACATTTAATGCATGCATAAAATATTTGTGGATTATGGAAGAAAAAATAATTTCCGTCCATCAACTTTATTATGGAAAGATTTTTAATTAATTTCTATGGCCTCAGTCTGTGCCATATTGCCTGAAAACATTATAAATTCTGTATTTGCAATATCTTAAGAAATCAGGACAGCTACCAGCGCAAACTATAAATTTATTTTGATATACTGAATTAGACGTCCCCAGATTTTGGCATGGAATATTTCGGGGAAAAATGCACACATCACAATCAAAATTATAATCTTACCATTATGTGACATTCTCACTAATTACGAAGAAAAACTGACAGTATTAGCACAAATAATACTACTGCTACTTCTAATAGAAGTTAAGTAACGATTAATAGCCAGAACATTTTTGGTAAAGAGAATTTTAGTACATTTCATGATGCATTTATTGAAAATTGTTTTAGTTGTTTTTCAGGGTGCATCTGCACATACAGTAAATTCATATTACCTACATAAAAATTTACTAGCATCAGGTAACACTCGTACATATGGTAATTAGCAAAAGAAAAAAACAGAAATATGGTACTTGTTAGTAAATGAAGTCCGATACCATAAATGCAGAAAAGCAAATTCTAATATCTGTACAGCAAAAAAAAAACAAAAAAAAACACATACAAAGCAAGCAGCAATATACCAGACAAAACAAATATTTCTATAAAATCTCGTATTTCTATAAAACAGGAAGCAAAATATAGTGCAATTCCATAAATTTCTTAATTTTTTTTTCTCCTGGGTGAATTCTTGAGAGATATTTTTTATTGATATCATGTTTGTTCAATTCCAGGAGTCCTAGTTTCAGACCAAAGCTCTGGGTGTGCATGGATTCCTAGAGAACCCAACTATTTTTCGTGGTTATCTTGTCTCTGCCAAACATGTTACTGCTGCGTCGTAAGTAGGGTAATTTTGGTGCATTTATTTTTAAATCCTTGACCGGCAAATAGGCCGGCAAATACGGAAGCTAGAAAGGATTCCGTGGTTGCTATATATATATATATATATATATATATATATATATATAATTTAAATAAAAACAGACCACTTTATGGTTCCATGTAATAAATTATTTCACCACAGCCCTTTTAAAAGGACTGTGGATCATCAGACTTTACTATCCAAACCTTCCTTTAGTGTCTGCTTAAATCTACTTTTTAATAGGGCTTTATCATAATTTGGTTTATTTTGGTTAAGAATAGTTTTGCTAGAGGAAAGTTTATTTATTCTAGCATTTACTGTATTTGGAATTTGTTTAATTATTGATTTCGGGTGGTTAGAGTAGATATTTATATATATGGGTGATTGGTTTTCCTTTTAGAAGGGTTTATAAGTGTTATTGTTAAGATTAAATGTAACGTCTAGGAAGTTTACTATTTTCACGTTGGAAGAAATCTCGATTTTAAATCCTAGAAATTTGAAAGCCTTAATTATTTTCTTTTGTAGTTGGGATGTTAAAAGACCATTGGTATCAGGTACAGCAACCAGTCCATCATCTCTGTATAGTTCTACATTTTGAGGGTCAAGGAATCTACCTCGGATATCTAAAATGTATATACCTATTAAGTCAGCTATTTGAGCTGAATCAAAAGATCCCATTTGGACATCGTAGTTGTCTCTGTTTTTTGTTTTTTTGTTTTTTTTTATCCAAGTAGTGTTATTAAGTTTTAGTATAGACTGTCTAGAGTCCATTATGATTTTATTTCTTCGTCAGTAATATCAGTGTAGTTTTTTGGCAAAACTTAAGCTATTTTCTAATAATTCTTTAGAAATGGAGGGGTAGAAATCGATAATATCTAATTGGATAAAAGTAGTTTTATTTTTTATATATATATATATATATATATATATATATATATATATATATATATATATATAATAACCGAATGTAATGAGAACGAAAATAATATATAGAATTCTAACGTTCACAGCATTAATTCAAAAGTGAGATCAATAGCGAGAGGAGGCAATAATTATTTATTATATTTTTTTTTTTCATATAGACAAAAACAATTTACTCACTACAAAGATGCAACTTCGTTGAGGTGCATTTAGTTGCACCTCGACTGGTGAGAACCAACTAAATGCACAGAAACAGGTGAATAAATAGTTTTGTCTATAAGAAAAAATATATATATATATATATATATATATATATATATATATATATATATAGAGAGAGAGAGAGAGAGATGTACAGTTATATATATATATATATATATATATATATATATAGATAGATAGATAGATAGATAGATAGATAGATACGAACATTCAAGGCTAGATAGATAGATAGATAGATAGATAGATAGATAGATAGATATTGCTTTCATATTCCATTAGTAAGAAGTAATTTCTACTCAGATTCTTTCTTCTCAAGAAATGTTGCTTTGTGGAAAGGAATCCCAGGTGGCGACTTCTTGACCACTGTAACATTAATCTCTTCACGTCAAGGGTTAACCTTTATCTTTCACGTATAAGCTGTGCCTCTTAATGTTTCTGATCACACAACAACTGCCTTAGGCAACACTCTAGCTTGAGTAGCTCTTGGGCTTTGTAGAAGTCGATCGTTAGTAAATAACGGATATGAACAGAATGAAATAGATAGCTAGATAACTAGATAGCTAGTTAGATAGATACAAAAAGATGCTGAACATTTCTGAAAAGTCTTAAATAACGCCGTATAATCTGATCAAAAACCCAAATTTTTCTCTTGTTTTTTTTTTTTTAAAGTAAAAAGTGATCTTGGTTTGGTCGAGATCTTTTCAACCATAACTTCCACAGAATATTGTTTTGTTTTCGTACACGTTAACATAGGTTAGTAAAAGTTTTATGTCAAATCTCTTCCCTTATTAAATCTTTTCATTATTCATTTAGCCAGTATCAATAGTTCAGGTATCTGCCATGCGCGATACGCGCTTAGGCAATCATGTATCTTTTCGATGCAGATTTTTTTCCCGCAGTAGGTTGCCATTTCTTTCTGCGGTAGACCAAGGCTATAGAACCCGGTCTGTACTGCTATTTACCCATAGCTGGGGGAGTATTCTTACCTTTCCCACAAAATGAATGTAATGGATTCGACTGGAATTCGAACTTGGCTCTCCGATTCCTCAATCCGAGCAGCTATCCATTGCCTCCTTACAGATATTTTTTATTTTGATTTTTTTTTTAAGTTCGATTTTTAACTCTCTCCATTATGAGAAAAATATATCACGTTGACTGCAAGAATATACTTCGGATTCTTTAGAAGCGAAAAGCAAATAAGCTTAAAGCTAAATAAAATCTGAGATTTTGAATGTTTTTAAAAACTGATTGTTACATTTTGCCTAGAGAAGTTTTCCACGCATGAAGTGCCTCTTGTATGACGTCAAAATCCTGCAAAAATGCCAAAAGGCTGATATTTTAAAAAAATTGAATATTTTGATAGACGGAAATTGAGAAAAAGATTGGCAGAGAGAAAAATGGACATGTGTGTTGACTAATATTTGTACAGATTGCTATATATAAAAACAAGAAGCGAGATATAAGAAACGTGAGATGGAGGTCGATAGACATATGTTGACACATATGAACAGATAGGACAAGAGAAAGAGTTATATAGATATATACAGATAAGAACAGATCAAGAGAGAGAGAGGTACAGAAGTAGATATAAAGAGGAAAGGAGAAATTCGGGCAGAGATAGATAGATAGATAGATAGATAGATAGATAGATATGAAAAGACATAGATAGATAGATAGACAGACATACAGACAGATATGAAGAGACGGAAATAGATATGAACAGACGGAGATAGATAGATAGATAGATAGATAGATAGATAGATAGATATGAAGAGAAGGAAATAGATATGAACAGACGGAGATAGATAGATAGATAGATAGATAGATAGATAGATAGATAGATAGATAGATATGAAGAGACGGAAATAGATATGAACAGACGGAGATAGATAGATAGATAGATAGATAGATAGATAGATAGATAGATAGATAGATATGAAAAGACATAGATAGATAGATAGACAGACAGACAGACAGATATGAAGAGACAGAGATAGATAGATAGATAGATAGATAGATAGATAGATAGATAGATAGATAGATAGATATGAAAAGACGGAGATAGATAGACAGATCTACAGACAGATATGAAGAGTCGGAAATAGATATGAAGAGACGGAGATAGATAGATAGATAGATAGATAGATAGATAGATAGATAGATATGAAGAGACGGAGATTGATAGATAGATAGATAGATATATAGATATGAAGAGAGGGAAATAGATATGAATAGACGGAGATAGATAGATAGATAGATAGATAGATAGATAGATAGATAGATAGATAGATAGATAGATATGAAGAGACGGAGATAGATAGATAGATAGATAGATAGATAGATAGACAGACAGACATACAGACAGATATGAAGAGACGGAGATAGATAGATAGATATGAAAAGACGGAGATAGATAGACAGGCATACAGACAGATATGAAGAGCCTGAAATAGATATGAACAGATGGAGATAGATATAAAGACACATACGTACGCTTATCTTTCTATTTGTAAGATTAATTTGGATTTAATATAATTTTGTATTAATCTCCTGATAGTATTAGTAACACCTTGTACGGATGTATTGGTATTTGGTTGGTATTTTTGACATTGCTTAGCATTTTGTGAAATTACCTCTCCACCCAATGTTTATTTCTTACTAAACTGCATTGTCTGGTTTGTATAATTTATGTAACCATTTGTATCTACATTAGTTTGTGTCTGGTTGCCGTTAGCTGTCAATCTACAGGTCATAAAGCATTTATAACAAAATCATTTTTAAGTTTTACTTCTTCGCTTAGTTTAAATTTAATGTAGGTTATATTTGTTTGGTTGATCAGAGTAAAGCTCACCAAATTTATCACCAACTTTTTTCTTTTTTTTTCGGCAAAAGCGGTTGTTTTGCTTTTAAAACTAAATTCATCGTTGACTCGCCAAGTAATTTACAATCGCCTGATAAGATGCATTGAGACACATCGAAACATGACTGCAATTGTGTAATGATTTTGACGTGTTTTCTTTTTAATATCCTAAAATTATATATATATATATATATATATATATATATATATATATATATATATATATAAAATATATATATATATATATATATATATATATAAAATATATATATATATATATATATATATTAGTTTAAAAAAAGTTATCTCTGTCACTATGTGTGACATAGAGCAATCTGCACGTTTTGGTGTGAAACAATAAGTAATTTTTTTTAGAATTACTTACATAGACATTTCACATATATATATATATATATATATATATATATATATATATATATGTGTGTGTGTGTGTGTGTGTGTGTGTGTGTGTGTGTGTGTGTGAGAGAGAGAGAGAGAGTATTTGGGCGGCAAACCCACTTTTATACAAGTTTTATTAAAATCCCCCTCCCTGTAATTTGAACAGAAGTAATGTTTCCTTTTCAAAATTGAGTTTTCCTTCTAAATTCCTCACATTGTATTTCACTCCCAGTTGCCTCTTGCTTTTTAATGGCATTATCACCTTGTTTGGTGTGAATTTATTAAAAATATGATCAGAAATATATATTTGTTTTGTGATGTCAACGTGATGTGATTGTATCAAAGACTTTGTAATTGCAGATACAACTATAGTAACGCCGTTGAACAATACTGGTGTCAGATGCCTTCGAATAACACTCACATTAATAGTACTTGCTCGATAATACTCGCTCGAATAATAACCACCGAATAGTAATCCGTATAGTGATCCGAATAATCATCCGTATAGTGAGATATTCACTAGCCGACCTACGGATGTGGCACAAGGACAAGTCTATTGTAGGGTATCAGAAACCGTAGACTGAGCCAAAAATTCCCAGTAAATTCCGTAAATAACGGGGTCGGGTATCTGTATCCCGAGACGATCTGCCCTTCGTCATGGACTCATGTTTACATTCATAACCTACCCTTCGGCACAGCCTCGTCTGGGTTCCTCTCTGCTCGGAAACAGAGAGTTTGATATGCACGCTTCCGAAGTAATCTGTATAGTGATTACTTAATTGCCTCGCTAATTCCCATATATCCCTTTCCTTTAGCATCACGGGGTCTGCTTGTTCGAAATGGGATCGTCTGTATTTGATCTGTGTTCAAACTCCAGTATCGGCAGCGACAATTTATTCTTGTATAACAGGGATGTAGATAATACTAATTACTCACTTTTCGTATAATTATTGCGTTATTTAAGTACATTCTTGCAATATCTTCTCGCTTTTAAAGTAAATTATACAACATTAAAAACATGCGAGCGAAGATATGTAAACAAATAAATCGCAGTAGTAGAAGTAGTACAAATGAGGTCAACTGATAGCTGCTGTATTAGCACGCATACATAAAACAACGTAAATACGAGATTCTCGCATAAATTAGACACTTATACATTTTCACTCATAATAAAGGAATTCATTTCTTTTGTGTTGTAATAAAAACGAAATATTTTTCGTTAAACTTTTTTGCGAGGAACTTTATAACTTGTTTCAACTAGAAAGAAAACAAATATTACTTTTATTCTCAATATTAAAATTATTTAAATTTGTAAAGCTCTACTTGAAGATTATTTTGTTTCATCGCTTCTTACTCTACATACACACGCGTGCGCGCGCATACACACATGCACACACACACACACACTCATATATATATATATATATATATATATATATATATATATATATATATATATATATATAAGAGGCACGGTTGAGTAGTGGATAGTGACTCGGATTGAAGAATCGAATCCATTACATTCATTTACGTGCTAATATCCTTGGGAAAGGTATTAATCCTCTTCTCCCTTCAGAAGGGTAAATAGCTGGATAGATTGGGTTCTATAGCCTTGGATGGCAACTGAATTGAAAACTTGTGGAGGGTTGTTTGGGTGCCTTGTGGCACGTAGTGCGCCAGATCGTTGTATTTAAAAAAGTGTGTTTGGTTCTGCACAAACCCTTCACTATAAAAAGTGTGTTTGGTTCTGCACAAACCCTTCACCCCTATAATCTGTCGGTTCATAGGAACTCAGCTGCCTAACTATCATATGCCGATGCAGCTCAGTTCCTATGAAATGGACAAAAGTCCGCCAATTATTTTTAAGACATGTTTATGTTTATAAATTTTTTATATAGTTACAAATATTTACCGGCCTGAATATTTCTGTGAAAATTTGTGGGACTTACAGGCCGGTAAATGTTGTTTAATACTGTTTATTATAAACAGATCATTTACTTAAATATTTATCTCTAAAAAGAATGTATAAATATAAAACTGTCATATATATATATATATATATATATATATATATATATATATATATATATATATATGTTGGGGCAAAAATAATGACGTAATAATGTCGTTTTGACGTATTTTTAAACGACATTCTTACGTCATTATTTTTGCACCAACCTAATATATATATATATATATATATATATATTAACCAGAAAAACGGAAAAAAGAAAGACATCAAACAAAACTCTCTAATATGAGAACAGTAATATATCATATCAGTTCCAAGAGATACATATAAAGGGAATTAAGCATTAAAACCAAACAACACAACATCAATAAAATTATGTCAATTTTAGGAATATATATATAATAAATAATAATACTAATACATACGATGATATCTAACGTGTCATGGGCAAAAAAAACGCGATAAATGAAAATAAAGAAACCGACATAGTACAAAACGAAATGTCTTTGCCAGTGGCTAAATAATGATATCAACACGATAGTCTTTCGAAAACATTGAACTGAGCAAGGAGCAGGCAAATAAGTAATTGAAAATATTGGCAAAATAAGAGCCAACGAAAGATCTTTGTTTAGGTATGCCATGAAATGTAATCTGATATAAATTTAAAGTTTATTCTAGGACCAAAGTATAAAAAAAATCATTGTTAAGTTGTAAAATTCTAGTCAAAATACATGCAGCAATTATTCATACACAATCAGTTTTTTAAAGTTCTAAATATTCACAAATATTAGGTTGGTCCAAAAATAATGACGTAATAATGTCGTTTTGTGACGTATTTTTTAACCTCAAAAAACGTCATTATTACGTCATTATTTTTGCACCAACCTAATATCACAATTCATTTTGTCTCGTGTAAAAGATTCATAGATACGTAGAAACCAAAAAAAGAGAAAACACATCCAAGATTTATTTTGAAGTGAATGTCTGATAAATAATCGTTTTGACAGCACCTGGAGGATAATCCAAGGTTTAAATAATCCCGATACAAAAATCCATAATTATTTTTTTTTAAAAAAAACTGTGGGATTAATATATGAGGCAAATTAAATATTTTCTTTAATACAAAAGAAGAGATGAAATAAAAAATTAATACGGTTACCTGTTGAGATTAGCATAAAAGAAAATAGTGCGCATCCACTTCTGGTTTTACACTATTTATATTCCGACTATTATCTTCATCTTTGTTGTTTTTATCACAACGTTTCGATCTTTATTCCCTCCACTCTTAATCAGTTGCATATCGATCTGGGTAACCTACAGGGGATTCTCAATTGAACTCTTTATTTGATCTACAGGAGGTAGACAGTTCTCGTTCCATTATTTATGTCTCGGGAATTCTCGTTTGTTTCTTATTCTTATTTAGTACTAGTCAGTTATTTCTGGCCCGTTTTCGACGGGTGCAAGAGCAACACTAGGCCATCAATAGACCATTCCTAATCACAGAAACATTCTAGTTTTATTTAAAAAATATTATTATTATTATTATTATAGATTAAGGTGTCTTATGGCCGTATCACGTCGAAATACTGGTTCTCGTACGATCACCGAAATTAAGTACCGTCGTGCTGCTCTGTACCTAGGTTGGTAACCGCTTGAATAAAAACTTCAATAAAAAATGTGTTTTAATTTTTTAAAATTGATTTTAAACCTTACGTATGTTTTTTTTTATTTTTATTTTTTTTTTTTTTTTTTTGTATGAATTTTTGCATTTTCTTTTTTCTGGAGAATTGACAACAAAAATAATAAACACTATATATTTATTAGATTGTTTATTTAACCTATTTATAATATTATTTATTGGAACCGTTGGTAAAACGTCGGCTAATTGCCAATCGATTTCAACTTTATGAAATGATAAATAATAAGGATTTAATTATTCTTGGTTAATAATTTATCAAAAGTTTAATAATTTATGAATAAAAATTGTTTTCTTATTTCTTTCTTTAAAAATTGGTAGATGATAAAATATTGCATTAGATTAGTCCTAATACAATTGTATTAGTCTTTAGAATGTTGTAAATTATTCTTGGAAATAAATGGTCTAATAAATAAATTGTGTTTAATTTGTTGTGAAAAAAAACTATAAATTCACTCTTAATGTTTAGGTTTTATTTAAATTCTAAGCATTCTTTTTTCAAACAATAAACATTGCCAAGGAGTGAAAGTGTCACGGGAAACACTGTCTTTTTGTCATAC